AAGAAAAATAAAGATTGTAATCAATGTATTTAAACTTCAAAAACTGATTCATCAAAATCTATCCTACCCTGTTAATAGAACTGGGAGACAACTACACTCATTGCTTTCAACATCACATTCTGTGGGAATAAACCATGTTGTATTAAACCCTGAATCCTACAATATGTTTAAATTCTCTTAAACATCTGTAATGCCATATAAGTAGTATATATAAAGAAACATTTCAATCAGCTATACAAGTAGTCCTCGACTTATTCATTTACTGATCATTCAAAATTAAAATGGCACTGAAAAAAGTTGACTTGACGGTTTTTCACAATTATGATCATTGCAGCATCCCTGTGATGACATGACTGAAATTCAGACACTTGGCAACTGAGTCATATTTATAATTGCATGTTTCAGGGTCACGTGATCACCTTTTGCAACCTTCTCACAAGCAAAGTGAATGGGAAAGCCAGATTCAGTTAACAACCATGTTACTAACTTAAGAACTGCAGTGATTCATTTAACAACTGTGGCAAGAAAAGTCATAAATGGGGTAAAATTCACTTAAGATTCACCTAGCAATAAAAATGTTTGGCTCAATTGTGGTCTTAAGTTGAATACTACCTGTAATGTACTTGTTTTGAAAAATGAACCAAATGCTTACAATGAGTGCATTTATTTTGGCTTTTTGTTCACCAAGCCAGAGAATCACTAATACAAAACTGGAGAACTAGACAGGAGAGATATTTTCAACTCCTGATACTGTCCTGCTTGCCACAAACTCCAACTATGATGCCCTTGTAGCATAATAGATGGATAACTATTTATATAACTCAACTATCATATTTACTACTATTTCTATTTCCATCTTTCTAAGTTAATTGCAGCATAATTTGGTGCTTTACTTAAACTTGATTTAGAGTCTGAAACTCTAACATGAATGAGATAGAAATACATCTCTGATTATTACTACCAATGACAATTTTTCAGAAGTTAGCTTGCCTTAACCAAGCTGCAAGCTTATATCATTGCTGGTTGCTCATGCTCATTAGACTTTCCCTGAAATGGAACATTTTTAGTGGTAATGTAATGCTTAAACCAAGAACTCTTCCTTTCTTCCCCTAACCAACCAGAGTTGGAAAGCAAAAACAAGTCATTACTATCAACTCTTTGACTTGTGAAGATGGAAACAATCAGAATTATTAGTGCAGTCATCTTGCTAAACAATTCATAGAAGGAATTTCCAAGGTTTCTTTTTAATCACTTTGTTTTGGCTGCATTGTAGTCAGAATGATGGAGCAGTGGTATACCAATACACGTTAAATTTTGCTCCCAAACTCTGGTTCAGCATGACAATGGAATGTGTTTAGTCTATCTACACCGAAATGTGAAAAGTAAAGTATATTGGGCTACTTGTCCATCTAGCTGATGTCCTTTCCAACATACAGGGCACTCCAGGCAGAGATACTTCTAGAACTGGTACAGGAAATCCTTCAGTTGAAGCTAAGAATTGAACATGCCACCCACCCTCCAAATGCAAAGCATGTAACGGTAATCAGTTCTGAGCTCTCTTCATTCATGGGATGATAAGACACTGTTATCATTGATGTAACAAAAACTTACTTCAACTCATATAAATATACTACATGTTTTTTCTGTTCCAAATATTTCTCTGAGAAATGTATTCTATGTTCCTATCTTTCCCAATAATTACGAAGCTTCATTCCTGGAATAAGAACTCAGACAATTTTTCCTTTGCAATGTATTCGTTAGTTTGTAATATTTGTTTTTAACAATCTTATTATAGCATATATTGAAAACTCCAGATTCCTTTACAACTTTCTTGACATAATGATTTGGACACTGCTGAAACAGATGTATACTTGCAAAACCTTATTTACTCAAAATACACACAAGACGTATGTTGTAGTAGAAATACTTTACTAGCTGAACAGGCATCTCTCACACATAACTAATATAGCAATATCTTTCAGATGACTTGGTCTCACATATGATTTTCAACATTGTATTTTTTTTTAAATTAAATATAGTGCAACTCTGTAAACTTCCATATTTATACCTGGATTCAAGATATATGCCTGAATCAATGGCCTGATTCATACATTTTGCTAAGCTACACAGCTTACTTTCTTCTAAGATAGGCTGTGGTCTGAACAGGCCTGTTTAAACTTTTATGCACAAACTAGATTACTATTTGTTCTATAAACCATGGCTAAATATGGTTTATAGAACCATTTTATAAGGCACTCTACAATCTTCCTCAAAATGACACAAACCAGTGATACTCAAAATGGCAACATGAACCTTTGAAACCAAGGTTATTTGATTTCTTTAAGTCATTGCTTATGATAGTTGGAATGCAACTATTTGTATTTCCTATGAAACAATTATTTTTGGTTGTTTTTTTAAAAGTTGAATAAAATAACTCTCCACATCTCTCAATTATCATTTTAGCAATTAAATGACTATAGTCATGTACTTAAATGACCACTTCTGTTCAGATGGAGGAAGTGGTGGTTGAGCTCCTAAAGGAAGAAATTGAATTTGACAGTTTTATAAGAATTGCTTCCATGTGAACTAATATGTAACACATGAGGTATTGTTTCCATTTTACCTATTTTCTCTACTAAATATTGACATTTAAGAAAATAAATTTGTGTCACAAAATGAACATATTTTAATTTTTTATTTTCTATAATACAAGTCTCTATCAGATAGTAACCACAAAAAAGCCCAGTAACCAACTATTAAGCTATCCAGTTATCCAAACAGCATGTAGCTGCCAACAAAATCAGTGTCTATTGAAAAGCACTATGATAGAAACCCTTAATTATCTCTATTGTCATGATGAGACTCAACCATTCGAGTTATATGTTTATCTCCAGTAACACATTTTAAGTGCAGTCCCTTCCTCATCATGGTTTACAAAAGGGTCAAGCACTCTGTGCACTGAACTTTACATTCTTCCATTTGAATGCCTGATTTAGGAAACCCAGTATAGTTCCATTTTCTAAACTAGTATCAGATAGCTTTAATGAAACACTGAAGATCAACCTCACTGAATTTCAGCAAAATCTTCAGACAGGTAATGTGAGTCAAGGATGACACAGATTTTAGGTACCACATCAGATGACACCTTTGGTCATGAGTTTCCAAGAGAGGGCCAGATTTTTTTAAATCGTTGCTCTTGCTCACTAAACCTTTTGCCTATGCTGCTGTCAGCTCGTAAGAGCAACTCGGCCTGCAGGGATAGGCCCATTTTCCCAGGCCTATAGAAGGCGCTGTGTAGCAACTCCTATCTGTGCATCTGGGGCCCCTCCCCCCCTCTGCAGCAGCCTTACCCAATGTTGAGAACGCGCCCCCTACTGACTCGCTACACTCATTTCTTCATTCCACCGACTTGGCTGCGGTGCATTTTGGGTGGGGGCTGGTATTTTTGCCTTCGATGGTCATAAACCCAAGCAACCGCAGTTTTAACGTGAAGCCACACACTCATTAGGTATATGTCTATGCAAAACTGAACTGAGCTGCAGAAAAGAAAAAAAAGGACAACACACAGATACACAAAGCCATAACAGAATAGACAGACATCCCAGGAGGAAAAAACCTTTTTCCCGCGATAGAAGCAGAAGCAATCCTCTTTTTTTCCTCTTCTTTGTTTGAGAAATAGGTTAAATACAACTACTGCCCGGAATGGATGCAGCAAAGAGTTGCAGAGGTGTAGAAGGGTGCCTGCTTCTCTCGGAGACCTGGATACTCTGACTGAGTCACGAATCCCGCCTTTTCCAACACCACCCGATACCTCTAGCTATGGAAGGGTGGAGGGGGGGCGTACAGGAGGAGGCTGCTCTCCATTGATTGTACCGCAGCCTGTTCCACATTTCCAGCGCCAACTCTGCAGTCATAACGGGGCTTTCCTCCCTCGCTGACACCCTCCCTTCCTTCCCCCACCCGCGCCGCACATGCTGGGGGAAAAAAAGGGAGCCTCAAGCATGTCGAAGAGGATGGCAGCATTCGCAATCCGGTCTCTCCCCCCCCCTCCACCTCCACCGATTCCCTCCTTCCACGACGCAGACCGTGCAATCACAGCCACACTCGAGGGCGCAACATCGATGTGCCACCTCCCTGCAAGCAACGGAAGGAGGCAGAAAAGAGATGCAACGGAGGCACAGGCGGCATTTAGCCGGAACGCGGTCAGAGAAGCTTTTCTTTTTTTAAAAAAAATGGGCCCGGGGGGAAGGGTGGAGGAAAGGGAGGAAGAAACCCGGCACGGAGACCGCCTCTGGTGCCGGGAGAGCCGGCCTCGAAGCCAGAAGGGAAAGACGGGAGAGATGTTATTTTAACACCATTTGTGAAGAGGGTACAGGAGCAGCCACCGGGCCCGGCAGCGCGGTTACAGGAGAAAGACGGCGGTGGCGGTAACGAGGAGAGGGAGGAAGGAAGGAAGGAAAAGGGTTGCGCCGGGCTCCCGCGCGCCTTCAGGCACCTACCTAACTGGATTTCGCGCTCCCTCCTACTCCTCGGCGGCGGGCGCTCCCTCCCCCGTCGGTGGCGGCGCTGCTGGCTTGCAGCTCCCGGCTGACGGCAGGACTTGGGCGGGCGCGGGGAGCAGAGCCGGCGGTGCGGGGGAGACAAAGGGGCCTGGATGGCAGGAGGGGGGGCAGGTTGCGAGGGGCAAGGCGGGGGCTCGGTCTGCGCAGATACGGAGGGGGCCGCGGCTGCTCCGCGGGGCTCAGCTACCGGGGCGAGAAGTGTCGAGCGCCGGGCCGCGGGGAAGGGGAGGGGGGGCTCCCTAGGCGCCCTGCAGACAATACAGCCGGGTCCCTCCTGCCCAGAACCTGCCCTGGCCAAGATGGCGGCCGAGAAAGAGCGGAAGTGACGCGAGTTCTCATTAGCATATGGGACTCATTGTCCGGCTGGAGAGGAGGGGGACGAGCCCCCCGGAGTGGAGGGGGGAAAAGGGGTGACTGAACCCCAAGAATGAAACTTGATTTCCCGTCATCCCTCCTCCTCTTATCTGTCCTGACAGGAAGCGGGATCTTTAAAAAGGAGATGGAGGGGAGCGGGTTACATAACCCCGTTGGAATGGGGGGATTCTCGCGAGAAGGGGAACCGGCGGCGGGATCTTCTCCGGCTCCGCTAGGAGGCGCCGCGCCCTGCGGCTGGGGCCGGAGAGAAGAGCGCGGAGCGGTTATCCCTCCGCCGCCCCAGCCGGGACTACACCTTTCCCTAAGGAGAGGAGAAGGGTCACTGGGGAAGGGGGAACTAAGGGGCGGAGGGAGAATGAGTCTTCTCCACGTGACCCGACATGGAGCACACCACGTGACCCAAGCTTCACCTGAGTGAGCATCATAACACCTCGTGCTGTTAAGCTGATGATCACACGGCTTGCACTCGTGCATGGAGTGAATAGCATCTGGAGGGCAGGTCTCAAGTCAAGCATTTCTGTGGTCCAGCCTTGGCCAGAAGATGTCTCTGGACCTCCAGAAAGGGATTCTTTAAGTGCATTGCCAGTTTGCTGCCTGTCTTTGGGCCCATCTCTGTTGTGCCGTGGATGGACAGTTGCATATTTGAAGCCATGGCCCCTTGAGTCAAGGTAGTGCATATAGATGCCCTTTACAAAGGTATGATTTATAAGGCATGGCTGCAGGAACATCTTCAGAGCTCCACTGGGTTAAGGTGTGAAATTAGGTAACTGCTTGAGGCCAACAGGCCTTATATATGCCCATCAAACTGAATTGGAGATTGTAACAGTGGCTTTCCCTTCCTTAGTCACTCTTCAAGAGGATTGGATTACAGACTTCACAAGTCCTGAAAATGCTCAGGGGCAGGAGGCTGCTCCAATATTTATATAATGTAATAAAATGTTTAATAGTTAAAGCAAATGATTAGAATTAACTTAGCGTATTTCTTGTCTCACTTTTTAATAATCTGAGGTTGGAAGGAAGCTGAAACTTTCTCCAGTTCTTGAGCAACACTGCTTGCTGTGATCAATGGATAATGCAGGTAGGACTTCCAAAAGTATAAAGGGACAAAACTCATACTTCCCAATTAGGATGGACAACTCAACTTATAGTTCATCCTATCTGGATGGTATCAAGTCAGAGAAAAATTTCCACAATGGAATTTTTTCTTACAAAGTTGAGCTGTCCCAATGGAAAATGATAGAAAGTTCAGCATGACTAATAAAAGTTGGATAAATAGATACTACATGAGCAAATATTAACAATTACATCTTTGGAAATACATAAAGATGGAAAGATTGCAATCTACCAACCATATACAAGTCACCAATTTAAGACCATAATTGAGGCCAGATTTCTGTTGCTAGGTGAGACAGTTAAGTGAGTTTTGCCCCATTTTATGACCTTTCTTGCCACAATTGTTAAGTGAATCACTTCAATTGTTAAGTTAGTAACACTGTTGTTAAGTGAATCTGGTTTCCCCATTGACTTTGTCAGGTCACAAAAAGTGATCACATGACCCTGGGACACTGCAACAGTCATAAACATGAGTCAATTGTCAAGAGTCTGAATTTTAATCATGTGATTATGGGGATGTTACAACAGTCATAACTGAAAAACAGTCCTAAGTCACTTTTTTCAATGCTATTGTAACTTTGTAAGTTTGAACAAATTGTTGTAAGTTGAGGACTACCTGTACAATTCTTTGTTTTTCCCTAAAAATGCTGGATCAGATAAAAACGATCTAGCCCATATTTTGTATTACCCAATGATTAGCCAACCTACAATATAATCTCACTTTACTAGTAATAGTAATTTTTGAACTAGTTATCTAATTATATATTACATTTCAATTGTTCAGAGTGCTTCACCAATGTTAACTATTCCAAAAGCCTTGAATTTTATACTTGTACAATTATTTAGGATTTTGATATGTAATAATCAGTCTAAAGTGATGTTAATAATAAAGTCATGTTAAGATTATTAATATGACTTTAGGCTGATTGTTACATGCCAAGAATGCATCTGTTGTTTTTGGCTATATCCCCAATATTTGGAATCTTTCAAAATATCAAGAATTACAGATATACTAAGCACAGAGCATGGCCTGAGGAATTATTGTACAATATTGGAAAGATAAATTGACATTTGATTTGTGGTAATAGATTGTTGATACACATTGTTTGTCAATATTTGAGTGGGTTTTTTTTTAACAGAGATGAAGAAGATTCTGAAGCAATTTGACTAATGTTTTGTTAATATATTTGTGGCTGATATTTTAAGTAGGAAACCTGTTGTGTGCACTGCTTGAAGTGCAGTGTGAGTATAAGTATGTATAAAACTATCTTGAAAATCCTGAGCTGCAGAAGGCATAAACTCAAGTGACAACAATTAAATAAACCACCACCTTCTTAAATATAACTTTTGTTATGGATTGAGCAGCTGAAAATTCACACAGGGCTCATATACTGTCAAGTGTGTATTTCCTTTAATCTGTGATGTTGTAAAGTCTAAAGTAACAGGTAACTTATTTAAAATGTTTCATAGTGTACATCTCCAGGCAGCGTTCACTTATTGTTATCAGAAGAGATATTGATAATATTACGGCAGTTCAACAGAGATACGGGTTGTCCTTCAGTTATGACCACAGTACAAACCTGAATATCCATTGCTAAGCAAGGCACGCTCAATTTTATAACCCTATTTGCCACAGTTGTTAAATGAATCATGTGGTCATTAAACAAATCCAGCTTCCATTGATTTTGATTGTCCGAAGCTGGGTGGGAAGGTTACATATGACCTATTATCATTGTAAATGCATTCCTGTTGCCAAATGTGTCCAAGTTTTGATCATGTGACTGTAAAGATGCTGTGACAGTCGTAAGTGCAAGGACCGGTTCTAAATCAAAAACTACCCATATAGTAAAAAGCCTCTCTCAGCTATCCTGCTTCCAAGTTCTTTAGAGTCTTGTATGCTAGAACATTCTGAATTACAAAATTCAAATTAGATTCTTGGTGCTGTTCTTTCAACAATAGCAATAGCCTAGCCACAGCATCAAGCTGTGTTTCAAATGGCTTGATCTACCAGTTGTATGTGAAGATGCCCTTCATGGAAACATTTGTGTACTTCAAATAAAAAATAAGAGTTTATGGATATGTATTCTCTCGGGGAGAGAGAGAGAGAGGGAAGGAGAAAGAGAGACTAACTGGATTAGGAGGACTGATATACTTTATGTTCCTCCATTGAAATAAGGTGCATTCTTTCATGTATGCTAACTGCATGTAGCAGATACTTGGACACCACTGGAATAGAGTCTGGACAGCCATTTGTCCGAAATGGTGTAGGGTTTCCTGCCTGAGCAGGGGGTTGGACTAGATGACCTCCAAGGTCCCTTCCAACTTTACTATTGTTATTATTATTAAATACAATATCAGTTGTATCCCCTCCATAATTATGTGCAATGGCTCTTCCATATAAAGCAATAAGAGATACTGAGAATCACAAGGTGCAGTCTTGAAACTTTATATTAATTTATATTGCAACACAATAAAAACAATAATTCCATTAATCACGTAATAAATACCATGATGAAATCTACCTATCCATCAGTAAAAACCATTTTACAATCAGATAACCTATGGACCACTGGTCATAAATTACATAGTATCCTATGTGCCAAGGCATAAGGGATCTGTGAAAGGTAGTCACCTGAATGGTCTTTCTTAATGTTAACAGAGAGAGGCTGTCTAAGGAGTTGTGGCTCAGCTCTCACGCATCTCACAACCCAAGAAAGGGATATCTGTTGCACACTCTCTTGGCTATTTCATATTAGATGTATGTATTCTACAAGCCAGTGGTTTCAAATGTAACTAGTACTTGAGTCACGACAGACTTTATAAGGAATAAAGCAATCCAATTTGACCAGCCAATGCAGTTCTTGCAGGATAAGTGTTCTGATCTGATCCAGAACATGGTTTAAGTGGACAGGTGGAAGGGTAAATGTTAAGACACTTTCCAGATCAATCATATTTCAATGGATTAAAAAATATATGAAAATAACATCCGATCTGCTTGGTCTTACAAAGTACAGAAGCTTTTGCTACATCTCCCCTAAGTTATATAATTAATGTAAATTGCCTGAGAAGATGCTTTGATGGAAATCTTCCAGCTTTGATATGTAAATTTCCCTGGTACAAGTTTGAAAAAGCAAACTTCTCAGATGCAATTTATTGTTCAAAATAAAATTATGACTGTTTGCATGTGATTTTTTTTCTCAGTGTATCCCTCTGTGCACAAGGAAGATGTTTCATTGGTGGGGGGAGGTAAGACAAATGCTAATATATAGGCATACCTTATTTTATTGTGCTTCACTTTATTGCTCTTTGCAGAAATTGCAGTTTGTTTACAAGATTGTCCATCGGGAAAAAAAACTATAATTCACTGAAGGCTCAAAACATTATTAGCATTTTGTAGCAATAATATATTTTTAATTAAGGTATGTAGCTCATTTTTTTTGAAGGCATGCTATTGCACAGTGACAGTATAGTATAAACATAACTTTTATATGCACTGGGAAACAAAAAAAAATGTGACTCACTTTTTGCAATATTGGATACATTGTCTTCAGGAACTGAACCCACAACATTTCAAAAGTATGCCTGTATTTTGTTTGATACTTCTACACCCCCCCCCCGCTGGTATTTCAAAGGGTCTTTTAGACCTGGCTTTTCACCCAAGCCTTGGTAGAAGTGTTAAAGCCCCCTTGAGTTTATTGGATGTCTCTTTCCTGGTCAGTGTTTACTCATTATAAAGGCAAAGGTTTTCCCTGTCCAGTCATATCTGACTCTAGAGGGCTCCGTTTCTTAGCTGAGAGAGTCAGCATTGTCTGAAGACACTTTCCATGAACATGTGGTCAGCATGATTTATACACTGAAGTGCACTGTTACCTTGTCACCAAAGTGGTACCCATTTATCTATTCGCATTTGCATGCTTTTGAACTGCTAGGTGGGCCTCCTGTTCCTCTGCTTTCAAAAATCAGAATGTATCTTTTTAAAATATTTTTATTATTAGGTATTGTATATGTTTTATATTTAGATTATGCTATTGTTTTATGTTTTAGCTGGTTTTTAACAAGTTGTGGGCAAAATGATTCCATTCAAACAGCTCTGAACATAATGGAAATATTTCAAAAACTGTGTTTTGAAATGTCCATTCCACAACTGGAACAAGCTCTTTTAAATTCAGATTGAGGTATTTTGATCTGATGCAATTTGAATTGAAATATTTTGTACAGCCCGAGTTTTAACTGGTTTTTTTCCCCCCATTGTTTTCTTCTTTAAATTATCTGGCTTGAGCACTATGGTGGAAAGTTTAAGCAGAAATCCAATCTGCTAATTATAATTACATTCCAATTATTATCTCCACTAGGAGAAACATCACTATTCTTAATGTCTATTGCTAATATAAACAAAGAGGAACATACTGTTACAATCTGGTTTCTCTTGTAGGCTTTCCTTAGCGCTCTGGATGTCCTTTGTAGAAACAAATTACTGCTATTGGTCTTCTGCCTTGTAGAAAGCTGAATATTTTCTTTCGCAATTTGTGGATTTCATGGTGACCATCACTTCCTAGGTGGATTTTTTTCTGTGCCTTTTGATGGAATTTTTTGTGTGTTAGTGTAAACCCCCCCCCTTCAAAATTTCTATGTATTTTAGTATTATAATTCATAATGACAAATCATTGCATTAAAAGAAATCCTACATAATTTAAATATGTAACTATTATAAATTATATCATATTGATCTCAGATGTCTTTTGAAGCAATACATTACTCAGAGGTAATGTAAGAATATGGTACTTCTGATGAATGGTGGTTTAATCATCTTGAAGGAGTGGAGACTGTACTGCAGTGGAGATTGGCACCCAGAGGGCTACTGCTGGTTGCCAAAATCTCTTCGGATAAAGGAGGGAGTGTGAAATAACCCACTTATTCTCTGGATAGTCACTCCATGTAAATTCCAGGAACAGAACTTTTCACGGTTAGCATACGAGATGAGAGCTGGGAGACACAAGATTCTATCCACAATCATAGCCGCAATGCAACCTATAAGCGCAAGATCTGGCAAGCCTCATTTCTTAACTACATTTGGAAATAATTATCCTACAGTCTGAAAGCAATTTTTGTTTTTACAACAGATAAGTACTCCTCTTGGTGGGTCTTGTTTTTTCTGGATTACACAATTAAAAGATTTAAAGACTACTTGTCAAAAAGCTTAACAAAGGATAATACAAGAAAGCTTAAAATATAAAGGGAAATAGTTTTTTTTTAAAAAAAGATTAATTTTTCTATGAAACTGTATGGAAAAACTTAAGTGAATTAGGCAACTCAGACCTGTTTTTGTTTGTTTTGTTTTTTACTAAATACAGTAGATAATTGGTGGAATTTACAAAACTAAAGAAAAAGGGAACTTGAGTAGACTGGGATCTTAATTGTAACCATGGAGATGCAGATGTGACATGTACCAGCAATCACATTAAAAGCACCAGGAAAAAAGAGAAAAAACTGGTGGGTAATTTTTTTCCCATAAGCCTTTCACTTTTGGAATCTGGCATAATGATAAGTAAGGCTGCACAACTGGAGGACAGAAGAGAGTCCTTAGAACAGCCTGCAGAGAAATAAATCAATTTCATTAGATTTAAAGTACTTCAGAAAATGTTTGATCAATTTGGCACCAAATTGCCTGTCTCACTTGAAAGATGAAAAGACTAGATAAAATGGAAAATTCTCTAAAACAAAAATCGATATCTATATTGATAGAGAGATAGTTATAAAATAAGTTGATGACAAGATGGAAAATCTATTGAAATTTAGTGAGGAAAAATTGAAATTTAGAGCTATTCCAGAAAATTTGGATGAAAGTATTAGAGAAAAAATTATATAAGCTTTGACGGGAGTGGGGGAGGGAGAGATGGATTGGGAAGATACAGAGGTAGAATCTGATAAGGTTTGGGGAATAAATCCAACATTTTCAAGAACAACAAATATTCCTAGGGATGTCTTGATGCACTTTGTGAGGAAAAAGACAAGGAATAAAGTTCTGTGACAATATTTCAGTACAAGATTGAAGAGTGATAATATAGATAGAATTATCCTAAAAGAAGTGTTCTCTACAAATGAAAAATAAATACTTCTTTTAGATTGAAATTTTGCTGGGCTAAATTAGGAGGTTTGAGTTTTACTTTTAAACATCTGAAATTTTGACTGAATTCTGTTCAGAAGGTGAGATAATTTTTTGAAAAAAATTAAAGTAGACTTAGAAGAGGTCCAAATGATATTCACAGAAAAGATTATACAAAAACCACAACAGATGTAAATGGACTTTGAAAGAGATGATACTGACTTAAGTGTTACAGGTATGGATGTTTCTAAATTATAGCTTGACTATGGATTACAAATGTTCAAGATGAAATATAAATAGAACCAATGCTTCCCCCAAAAGAAAAAAAAACATTATTTTTTAAAAATTAAAACAAAACATAATGTGTATGAGGGAATCATACTAGGAAAAATAATATGGAATATTTGATTTATAAAAATTAAAGTGACAAATTTATTTCAGCAAGCACTAAAAACGAGTTCTGTATATTAAACACCAATTACAACCAGAACATATATGGAATCACGGGCATGATAAATTTATTAGGTTGGAAGCCGAATTTCATGAGGTTAAGAATTTAGTACTAGTAATTTATGTGGACAAAGGATCATTTTATAAATGACTTCTATACAGGTTAATAAGTCTTTTGTATGAAAATTGGTGTTTGACGCAGTATTGGAATGCAGTGATCTCCCAGAACTAGATTGAATGTCAGAGAAAAATATTAACATTACTCAGGTAAATTATCAAAAGAGTTTTTTTTTTAATCTGATGGACCATTTACTGTTAGTGAATGAACAGAGACAGATAAATGGTAATTCTAGAGAATACTCCTACTCTTCAGAAAGACATAGATCCTTGTCAAGAATAGATATTATTTGGATTTCATCTATAGTCTCACCAAAGACTTTCTGATCATGAATTTGTGAGTTTGATTTATAAATGGAAATCCCTGTCTTTTAGATATTAAATGAAATGTTGTTACAGAAGTAAACAATATTGAACGATGATAAAAAGAAATTAACAGAATTTTTTGAAAACTGAATAAACTGATTGGTGAGTGGTGTGGGATACAAGTAAAGGTTTTATTAGTTATTTCATACAACATTATATTGAACTTAAAAAAGGAGAGCCAAGAAAAAATAGTAAATTTTGTATCAGATCAAAAGAAAAGAACTAAAGAAATCAACCAGACAAGCATTTCTCAACAAATTAAACTTTTACAGCAACAGCTATCAATGTTAACAGCTATCAACAGTAAAAGAAATAGAAATAAAAATGAACTCCTGTATGAAAACAAAATTGAATTCATGAACAAACAGGGAAATGGTTATTGTATAAATTAAGATAAAAATTATATTGAAACTTCCAAGAGGAAGCACTATTAACATATAATGTGGTTATGCAAAAAACATTTTATTAGTATTATTATTCATATGAAGGGCACTGTATTTCTTCAGAAAACAGACGATTACTTTTACAAAAAGCAAAATTTATCAAAGATTACAGAGAAATGAAGAAAGATTATGAATGAATTAATAACAATAAGGGAAGTTTCTGAAGCCATAAAAAGATCAAATCAGAAAAAGGACCAGGACCAGATGAATTATTAGTTTCTTATTGCAAAGATTTTGAGGATTAACTTTTACAACTTCTGCAAAATATGATAAATTCCATTTTACTGGAAGGAAAGATTTCAGAGACTTGGAAATAGCAGTAATATATAGAAATGAACAAGATCTGATTTTAATGAGAAATTATTGATCAATATCATCACTGAATAAGTTCACAACAATTCTAGTCAATAGACTCAAAATAAACTTGCAAGAATTTATTCATGAAAATCAATGTGGTTTTTATTTAAAAGACCTTAGAGAATCATAGTCTTCTAGTCCAAAACCTGCCCAAGGCAGGAATCCTCAGAACATTTCAAATGATTGACCAGTCTTTTCTTGAAAACCTCCAGTGATGGAGAACCTGCAGGAATTAAGTTGTTCCATTGTTTAATAATTCTATCAGAAAATTCCTGATTTCCAAGTTCTCTAATGAACTTCTACATGTGCTCGCTTTATCTTCAGGTGCTATGGAGATTAAATCAACACCCTCTTCCCTGTAGAAACCCTTCAAGTATTGGAAGACTGCTATCATGCTGATCCCTTATCAACCTAATTGTTCTTGTCTACACTCTTTCTAGGACCTCAGCATCTCTTTTGTATTGTGATTACCAGAACTGGATGTGACCTCACCAGGTACTATCACTTCCTTTAATCTTGATGCTATCCCTCTTTTGATGTAACCCATGACTGTGTTGGCTTTTTTTTGACAGCTGCAGCATATTGCTGACTCATAGTGGTTCATCAGTTAAAAGAGAATGTCAGAAGTGGACATTCTAGCTTGTTTAAAACAGTGGAATGAAAATCAAGCTGCATCAGTCTTTTTTTTTTAGATTCAGAGAAAGCTTTTGATAATATGATACGAACTTTTCTAATTAAAGCTTTAAAAGATATGAACTTTTAAGAAAATGTTATAAAAATATAAAAGTTGATCTACATGTCACAGAAGGTATAAATTATTGTTAATGGAGAAACTATGTGAGATACATAAAGAAACGAGTGGGCTACCCACTATCTCCTCTTTTGTTTATTTTGTTTTTGAATAGGGACAATACAAGAGGATAGAATAATGCAAATAAAAATTTAGAAGAAACATCCAGGTTTGGTGTTCATTTTGGAAGATCCCTTAAAGGGAATTGAATTATTAAATGGGGATATTAAAAAACTGGTGCATTAGCTGATTTTAAAATTAACAAACAGAAGACAAAGACGTTACCAAGAAATATGTGGATCCCAGTTCAAATAGAAATGATGAATGAGTTTTAAAAGCAAGAAGGTAAAATACTTGCGTATTAACAAATATGAAATGCTTTTTTAAAATAAGTACCTTAAAATATGGAATGAACTTAAAAGATATGAGAAAATAAAATCATCATTATTGGAGAGAATTTCTGTGATTAAGAAGAATTTTTGTCTAGAATGCTATTTTTGTTTCAGGAAATATCCATTTTGACAACTGATGTACCATTTAAAAATGGCAGAAAGATATATAAGTTTGTGTGCCAAGGAAAAAGCATAAGTTAAATATCAGGTGTTGCAAGATGCAAAGGAAAAAGGGTTGAGTCTGATCTGAAATTATACTTTGCAGCTAACTATTTAGTTTGGATGAAAGAGTGGAGGATGATGTGAAATAGAAGGTTATTGGAGTTAGAAGGACATGATTTGAGATTTGGGTTGCAAGGGTGCTTATGGTACAATAAAGCTAAGGTTACTGCAGATTTTAAAATATTTTTTTTAGGCATGCCACATTGACAATATGAAATAGTTGTAAATTCAGGTTGTTTGAAAATATCTTTGTGGTTCTCATCACAAGAGACATTTCATAGACAAGAAATTATAAATAAATACAAATGGTTAACTTATTTTGACATGTTAGACTTGTCAGGGAGAATGTAAAATAAAAACGAGAATTGGTGGCAGGATATATTTTCTATATTACAGATCTACTGACTCTGCTGGAGCAGAATTATAGGAAATACAGGATTCTATCAAATCTTACTACTAAACAGCAGTACCTCTTACATTATTTAAACTATAGGAACACACACCAATTAGTATCAATTATATAAGATTTTGATTATATCAGTGCAATCAGTTACTTTTGCACAATACCATAACAAGCAATAGCCTCCTTGCATAACAGCAGCAGCAACCACAGAATTCTCAGAAGTAATTTCATATATGTTTACTTTGAACAGGTGCAGCTGGTGAGTTCACACAGCATGCAAAGTCAATTCCAAACAAACAGTATTACTGCAGAGCATAATTCATGATTCCGATTAGAGCTGAAATTGTTTTATCCATGAGTGAATCCGTCATTCCATTAATATTCAAATAATTATGAAAAAGATGCCAAATTCATTTTTGAAAAGCCTGATGCATGGATTATCTTGCCTTAATTCTAGGAAAGATTGGGGAAGGTGATCGGCAGGTGTGCGCTGTCCCCTCCCCCCCACATCCATGCATTCTCTTAAAGCCCTATCCAGTAAATGTTATTTTTGCAGCATATTTTTTATTTTTAAAAGTAGCCAATAGCAAAAAGCATGACTTTAAAAAAAATATTTTTAAAAACCTTTGTGGAGAGCCAAAAGAAGAGCCAATCATTTCAGTTCTACCTTTTCTAAAGATTTTGTTCCTTAGATAAAAAATAAAATGCAGCTTCCAGTCAAATCAGATGCCCACCATTAAAAACACTTTATGCATTACTCAAAAATCTGAAATGTTTTGTGTATTTATTAGATCTAATAAAGTGATAAACGTCTGAACTAAAATTGCCTCCTGCACGCTTGTCAGCATTCCATAACATAGTCCACACTTTAGTGTCTGTCTCAGACAGCAACCATTTGCAGTTACGACAGTGATGACAAAGTAAATTTATAATCAATTCTCTCATTTATAATTTTTGCAGGTCTGTAAAGCACAGAAAGCTGAAGTAAGATTATATCAAGTTGCCAGTTCCAATGGTAGCCACTAAAAACAACTTCCTGTACAGAATACTGACAAACTAAAGCAGTGGTTCTCAACCTTTTTAATGCCGCGACCCCAACCGGTCGTAAGTCGAGGACTACCCAACCTGTCATAAGTCGAGGACTTTCCCTGCCCGGGAGCGCTGCGCATGCGCGGTGCCGCCCCCTGCGCTGGCTGAGGCGTAGCTGGCAAGGGGCAGCGACGGCACAGGGTGACTACTGTGGTCCAGCCCAAGGGAAGGCACCTGCCGGGCCCCACACGCGCCAGCAACCCTCCCTGCACCCGCCGGCCTCCCACCCCTGGCCCTCTTTTACTTACATTTTTAGTAGTTGCTCAGCAGGGAGGGGTGAAACTTCCAGACAGCTCGCCTTCGCTGCAGACAACTTGCAGCACCGTTTGCAGAATGGGGCTTTTGGCGGGCTCAGCAGGCAGAGACAGCCTGGACAATTCCTATTGGCTTTTGAAAGCCAATAGAATTAGACTCTATTCAAGAGAGTCTATTCTATTGGCTTTCAAAAGCCAATAGAATAAAAGGGAGTAGCACAGCTAAGGAAAAGGGGGGGGGGGAAATGGCGGACTGTGTTGTTTGGCGACCATGAAATGGTTGTTCAACCCCAAATGGGGTCGTGACCCACAGGTTGAGAACCGCTGAACTAAAGGAATCACTTTAATAAACTTGATAAAGGCCAGGCAATGTCCATATGTAAGACCCTTGATACTAGTGAGTTGCTGGATGCTATCTACCTATCCCTAATAGAAGTCCCAGTAGAAATGGCTAAAATAGTTGGATCCAACTCACCCACAACTGTAGATAAAATAGATAATATTACTTATGACTTATGATGGAGAACGATTTCTATTTTTTTTTTATTGAGAATTTTTAACATTTTACAAAATAAATCCCCTCCCCAAACCCACCCACCCATACCCTCCCCCAACTCCCCAAACCTCCCTAACCCTCCCCTGAACCTCCCAGAGTTGATTACAGGCTTATCCAAAATGTTTCAAAAGAAAAAAAAGAAAAAGAACTTAAAACACATATAAAACTTAAACACCTATAAATCCTAAACCATCTAAGTACCTTAAATTAAATAAATTGTTTCTAGAAAATAATAATATTAACACATTATAATATACTCTAAAAATCTTCTAATCTTACTTATAATATTATCCATCCTTCTACATAAGTTTCTTCCAAGACACAATTTTAAACACTGCTTTCTTTAAACATCTATAACTACCATATAAAGTCTAGCATAAATCATAAGCAAATCTAAATACATTTAGTTCAACAAGTTATAGTCCCTCCAAAACACAAATTTAAACAATCAGAACTTGAAACATTAGAACAAACAAATTATAGTCAATCAAAAACACAAATCTAAACATTACTTAAAACTTTAAACATTAAAAACCCCACCCAAACACTAAACACATTGTAATATACTCCAATCCTTCTAATATCATAAATATCATTATCATTTTCATAAACTCCCCCAGAACACAAATTTATACATTACTTAAAACTTAAAAAAAAAAAAAAAAAAAAACAAGACACCTTTATACTCATTTAAATCTTATCAGATTCCATCCAAAGTAGACAGTTTATAGCAAATTCCACCCACAAAAAACACTATAACAAATTCCATCCACCATAAACACAATAGATATTCAAATCTTCTTCATCAATAACAAGTTGCAACCACAAAAAACCCAGTCCTTATCAATCTCAATTGTCCATTTTGATTCTCCATTCATTATCATACTGATATTATTATTGTCAGCCTCGATTATCCATTTTCGTTATAAAGCTTAAAACAAATGCTTTAGGATCTGTCCTCAAAAGCTGCTCCAAATTTTCTGAGTCTCCCAACGACTCAGAAGCCAGTACATGTGGGGATTCCTTAAACTCCTTATTCTGTTGGTCTTTTTCTTTACAATTATATGTTGCACAGATTTTCCTCTGCCCCTTCCTCTCAACTTGTTGACGCCCCTCAGGCTGAAATTTCCCCTTTTTTCGTCTCAGATGACCCTTCCATCCTTGAAGATTGCTCCAAAGGATTTATAGGTCTTGCTTCTCCCGCAGATTCAGCAATCACTAGGTGTGAAATTTCATTAATCTTCTTCAGTTGCTGCTTTTCTTTACAGTTTTGTGCTACACAAGTTGTCTCCTGCTCCTCAATCTGAACATGTTGAGATCTCTTAAACAGGGGTTGCCCAATTTTAGAGTCTTCAAACTGTAATTCTACATCCATTTCTTCCAAAGTCTTGAACTTAATGGATGGAGATGGACATGCCCCCAGTACTGAAGTATAAAAATCTTTTGCTTGAGAAACAGTATTAAGTCTATAACATATTCCCAGGTAATTCACCACCATTCCAATCGGAACATCCCATCTAAACAAAATTCGTCTCATTTTAAGTTCATTTGCTAAAAAGGCAAACTCCTTTCTTCTTCTTAAAATTTTTGATGGGATCTCCTTTAAAATTATAACATCTTGTGAAGCAATTTGAAATCTCTTCTTATAAAAAGCTTGTATAATTTGAGAACGATTTCTATTATCTTTGCTATGTAAAGATAAAGCTGACCTCAAGTTGAGTTTGACTCCTTGTGATTCTGCAGATACAACCATAATTTTCTGCTAATACAAGTGTTTGTTTCAATATATTTTTCTACATCCCTACACCTTTAAGTATTCCATAGTGGATTCCCATCCAACTGTTAACCTGACCTGGCCCTGCTTAGCTTCAAGCAAAATGCTGCCATCTGGTGATAGTATTGCTGCATGACATGAATTTGGTCTTGACACCTATATTAGCCATAATGGTTTATCATACAAAGATACCAGAGACGAAAACTGTCTTTCATAATTACTTTATTCAGAATAAATGTCATCAAATAAATTACCTGTATTTTACAAAAAGGAAAAACAACTGGCACGTAAGGACATCAGTACAAGGAAATTTGAAAACATAAAGACAACTAGGAATAAGTGGGAAAGAGAATAATGTATTTCATTTCCAGAGTTATCTGGAAATGAAATACATTATTGTTGCTACAATACAGAACAAAAACTTTGTATTTTTCAAAGGTACACAGTATATTGCTGAATACAGTATCCATGCGTATAACAGAACGAAGATATCATTTTAAAGTTATGGTGGCTAGTGTAATCTATCCTAAAGTATAGTTTCCAAATTTAGTGGTAAATTCATATAACCTTGTGGAAATTACTCTTTCTTTTTCCGATCTTTGCAGAACAAAGTTATTTAATGTCCCAAAGGGCCAAACAGAACTGTAAAACATTCTTACTTTCAAGAGATACTGACTTGCATTGGTTTCTTTTTATTTCAAATATCTGAAGTAATGCTTTTGGTTTCAATTGTTTCAATTCACAAACAGTTCATTATATATAGTCAACACTGTTTTGTAATGTTTTAAACCACAACTTATTTTCAGTATAGAAAAACAAGAATGGTAACATTCCAGCATGTAAGACTATATGTTAAATTCTTCAAAGCCCAAATTTAGCCTTTGGAATTCACAGAAAATCCAATTATGAATTTTCAGGAAGAATACTCTGCTAGAAATCAGCTGGCAAACAGAAACAGAGGAAAAAATTCCTACACCCAGATTATTCTGCCAAACATATATTGTATTTCTAGGCCTATTTTCTTTTGGCAGTGGAAATTCCAATGAAGACTGCTCTGTAAATCTTCTGTTGACACATAGCAGACATTGGCATAAATTCATGAACAAAATGACTAAAGGATTCAAAAATCCCAGCGGCATAGCTCAAATTGGAATGAAAGGTGTATAATTTTTATACTAAATAGGATTCCCAGAGATTACTAATTTAAGATAATCCATAACTAGCAAAGTAATCTACAATATGGAATGCAGGTGAAGTACCAAGATACTTAAAACATCTTGATGGACTTCAGCCAGTTGGGCAGAAGTAAATAAGTGGGAAAGAGAGTCAGTTCAACCTGAAATAAAAGCAGAGGTTTAAAGAACATAATCTGCTTCTATGAGAAAATTGCCATTTAAAGTTCAACCTTTCTGAACAAGACAATTTATCATAGTTAACTGTCTGGACCATTTTAAATAGTATGAAAGCTACTCCTTACACATATGCATCAGTTGTAGACCCCGCTAATGAGCATTCAGAAAAATACGGCCTCAACATCTGAAGGCTCCAATTATATAACATATTTTATAATTATCTGTAAGTACATATACATTTGAAATATTTTTAAAGATCACACTACATGAATAAGATTTATCACGTGTTTTAGCAAGCAATTTTATCATGATTTGTCATCTGATTTCATTGATCCCAACTTGTATCAAATAGAGAGGTATTTCCTACTTTGCACTATGCATAATTTGATTTTGATTGTCCTTTTCATTTTGTAAAATAAAAAATCCCACTATTTTAATTTTTTCACATATGAAGGATGTGGTAATTCGATCATTTAGATATTCCTTTTACTTGTTTTTCCCCCACTGAGTCAATTTTTACAGAATGAGTAGAATACTAAAAAAAAAAGACTGAAAACCCTTTCCCCAAAACTGACATTGGTAATAGTATTTATATTTTGATTATTCATTTGAATTGCAAATAATGCCTGAAGCAAAAAACTATATTCCACAATAATTATAACTAGAGATTGGAATGTAAATTTTTATTTCCTCCCCCGAACAGTCTGCAGTTGGAATGTGTTAATATCAGTCATTTTCTAAAATATACAAATGCAGTACTGTATATGCAAATCTACAGTCAGAAAGGTATCATTATACTAGTCCTGTTAATTACTTCACGACCTGCAAAATGTAAATATATCCTTTCAGAAATATATTATTTCCAGATAATTACCTGTAGTTCATTTAAAATGCAAACATTCTTTTTTAACTAAAATGGTGAAGAAAGTTAAAACTTTGGCTTTTACATTATCAGATATGAAGTACAGGTAGCTCTCGACTTATGACCAAAGTTGGGGATGGAGCTCCTGTCATTAAGAGAGGCAGTTGTTAAGAGAATTATGCTCAATTTTACAACCTTTTTTCAATGGTCTTTAAATGAATCGTGTGGTTGTTAAACAAATCTGGCTTCTCCATTAATGTTGCTTGTCAAAAGCCAGTTGGAAAGATCACAAAAGTTGATCATGTGACCTCAGTACATGCCAGTTGCCAAGTATCCAAATTTTGATTACTGCTCTCAGTCATAAGTGATGAGCTAAGTAACATTTCTCAGCCCTGTCATAACCTCAAGTAGTTGCTTAACAAGTAGTTGTTTTAAGTTGAGCATTTTCGGCATGATGTCTGAAAAACATCTATCCAAATAAATGAAGAGACGTTGAAATTTTGTTCTCTAGAGCCATAATGGATTTCTGTCACTGTCCAATATAAATTATTCAGTCAACAATAGAAATACTGGCACAGTATCTGAATCTCTTTATTATGTAGTGGCAAATAAAGTCAACAATCCTTTCAGAAAGGAAACTATTTCATTGCCTCCTAGCTTGGATTCTCCATAAACTCGATCCACAAATGATATAGGAACCTATTAAATGAAAAAAAAATAATCATAAAATCATTTCAGTTATAAGAACCAATAAAAAGATAAACAGGAACACTTCACCTCAAGATTCAGTGTTTATCTACCAACATGCATTCGAATGTGTTTTGATGCAGAGTATGAAGTGATAGCTTTCTCACATTTAAATATGATCAGAAAACATTTCCTACAAAATCATTGTTGTAAAACAGCCTATCCAGAGCCTGAATATGAAGCTGGCATGCACCAGAGGTCTTTCTATGATTATTATGATCTTTCAAACACTGCCAAAAACTCTTTTTTACTCATGATTGCAAATCATTTAATTTTAATTATTGTTTTATTATAATCTGTACTGCTTGTTTAGTGCTATTTTACGATGTGGTATAATTCTAATCTTTTAAAAAGTAGACAAAAGAACTAGGTTCCTTTTAAATCTACTAAATTAAAGTATCTGTATCTTCCTTATCTGGAAATGAAATACATTATTGTTGCTACAATACAGAACAAAAACTTTGTATTTTTCAAAGGTACACAGTATATTGCTGAATACAGTATCCATGCGTATAACAGAACGAAGATATCATTTTAAAGTTATGGTGGCTAGTGTAATCTATCCTAAAGTATAGTTTCCAAATTTAGTGGTAAATTCATATAACCTTGTGGAAATTACTCTTTCTTTTTCCGATCTTTGCAGAACAAAGTTATTTAATGTCCCAAAGGGCCAAACAGAACTGTAAAACATTCTTACTTTCAAGAGATACTGACTTGCATTGGTTTCTTTTTATTTCAAATATCTGAAGTAATGCTTTTGGTTTCAATTGTTTCAATTCACAAACAGTTCATTATATATAGTCAACACTGTTTTGTAATGTTTTAAACCACAACTTATTTTCAGTATAGAAAAACAAGAATGGTAACATTCCAGCATGTAAGACTATATGTTAAATTCTTCAAAGCCCAAATTTAGCCTTTGGAATTCACAGAAAATCCAATTATGAATTTTCAGGAAGAATACTCTGCTAGAAATCAGCTGGCAAACAGAAACAGAGGAAAAAATTCCTACACCCAGATTATTCTGCCAAACATATATTGTATTTCTAGGCCTATTTTCTTTTGGCAGTGGAAATTCCAATGAAGACTGCTCTGTAAATCTTCTGTTGACACATAGCAGACATTGGCATAAATTCATGAACAAAATGACTAAAGGATTCAAAAATCCCAGCGGCATAGCTCAAATTGGAATGAAAGGTGTATAATTTTTATACTAAATAGGATTCCCAGAGATTACTAATTTAAGATAATCCATAACTAGCAAAGTAATCTACAATATGGAATGCAGGTGAAGTACCAAGATACTTAAAACATCTTGATGGACTTCAGCCAGTTGGGCAGAAGTAAATAAGGAATCGTGTTTCACTGCTGGCTATGGGGCAGATCAGAGAACCAAGAACTCCTTTCCAGAACATTTTTTTACCATTTTCAAAACTGGTTTAAAAAACCTGTTTTTAAAAAGTAAGCTCTATTAGTTTTGTTTTTGTACTCTAATTGCTAAGAATCTAACAAATACAAAATGGTATAAGATTTTTTTAATAAATAAAAAGTAACCTCTACAGAAGCAGTACCCACTTCTTTTGTGATCTGAAATGTGTGTGGAATTTAACAAATGTTAAAATATTAGACACAGATTTATTAGGCATAATACTAGTAGGCCCTCAGTAATTAAGAATGGGACCTGAGAAATTGTCTTTTTTAATATACCATGGCAAAGACATGAGTAACTTTTATCTTCATTACATGACTAGTAATGAAGCCATCAGACCAGATCTACCCTGATGCTGGAATATTAGAGAAGATGTATTACAGCCAATTGTAATCTATGGTTGGAAAGGTGGCATTAAGCTTCTTTGAATTTAAGTGGATACCTTTCTCATCCCTTGCATCTTTAAATGATAGAAGAAATATTCACATTGTAAGAGCACATTGTTAATATTTGTGTGTTCATCATCTGATTAAGTTTGTGATGCTATGGCCATCTAATATTTGTGTTTAAACTATTGGGTAAGTCATTAATTAAGATTCTAGTGTAAGCTACTCATACTATATGATCCTATCTGAATCCTCTCTGTTTTTACTTGTCAATCAGTTCAATCTCTAATAGCCAGAAGGTAAACTTTGAGCACAAAAATGTAAATGTAATTATGTACTTTATGCTTTAGATTTTTAGCATACCTCTCCAATAGAATAACCCAATTGCCTGGCGCGGACAATCATTTCCATTTGGAAAACATACCCTTTTGAAACACATTTCTCCATCAGTTTTTGTAGAACCTCTTTTCTATATAACCTGAAATTTAGTGCACATAAAATGTTTACAACATTTCAGTTACAGGCACACATATTTTCAAGTAATAAAAAAGAACAAATAATAGCAATAACCTATATACAGGTGCCTCCCAAATATTATCTAACAGTTTTACAAATTCAGTAGATTTCTTTATCAATCTCAAACTCGCCATTTTCCTGAAGCATTCTTGCTCCTCATGAGTTGTTACATACCATTTGGAAACCAGCTTACCTGAAGCTTCCTGTTAAGTCTGATGCACCTGGCCGTAGTAGAACTTGAGTTAAAAAGTTGGCCCCCCGGCTGAAAAGTAAGATTCAAAGTATTAATATGCAATCAGAATTTTAAAACAAACAAACCACGTTTTAAAGATGTTATTTCATTAAAGGATCAGAGTAATACAATATAAGACAGGTAATAATTTACAAAATAATTTTAAGCACAACTCTGCTGGATTTCAATAAGGCCCCATGTTAGTTCAATGTTTTGTTTCTTGCAAATAAGATAGAGACATAAATGTCTCCTACCATTATTTCCTGCAACAAATATATTAGTACTTTGAGGTAAGATGTCTCCAATTGGGATATAATATTGAGCTGAGTTTTCAAGGATATTTTAAGACTGTGTTCAGTTTCAGAATACCTCATGCAGAGGATATGTTTATGAAATAAAACTAGGTAAAAAGATATCTAAGATGTGTAGCTGGTCTGGATAGAAATAAGAACGTTTTCCTTCAATTTTCTCAGAATTAAAGAAACCTTTTTAGAATCTGACAACCCTCTCAGAAATGATTCAGAGAAAGAAAATGGACAGTTTCAGTACTGTCCATTATTACTAGTGATACAGGGCTATAGATGAAACACTGACCTGATCAATTTTCGTTTTAGATCCCATCCATGCACACCTCCATTTCCTTTATATCGAGTCCCAGACACAATATCAAAATTTCCTTCTTTTTGTTTTCTACAAACATAACCATTGGACACAGAAAAGAGAGTATTTTTTTTTCTGAATTACAAACTCACATACTTACTATAGCAGTAATCCAGAAAAGATAAATACAACAATACTCAAATTGTTAACATGCAATATAAGAATAAAACAAACTAAAAATTAATAGTTTCTTATCTTCAAAGTATGGTTTAGACCTAGAAAATAAAACTATGACCTACTTGGAACAATACAGATATTTGCTATGGAATTTAAATGAGCACGAGGTATATAGATAAGCAGAAATCTACAAGCAATTACACAGTGTAATTTTTAATGTTATTTTTATTATGACCTATTATCAAACTAGCCCAGGTATGGTATGCCATCTCATACTTCGTAATTAAGAGATTACAGTAGTGTGTAGACTGAGATATTACACACTCACACATTGTTTCTTTTGACTGTTTCATCAACTGCTGTGGCCTGCGGTAGCCAACACTCAGAAGGAATGGCAGCACCTTTTCTGATGAACACATTTTATTGAAAGGCCTAAGTTTTCATGAGTTGTAGTTCATTTTATCACATGTACAGAATAGTTAAATTGATGTAGGATTTGAAAAAGGGATGCAGCAAGTGAGAGAACAAGCAGTTCTCATGTAGATTACATGTAAAGCACGTTATAAGAACCTCACCAATTATAATAAAGTGACATGGACATATTAAAGTATAAGCACAAACAAATAAGAAACATAAGAAACAACATATTTTCAAAATTCCTAGTATGCCAACTAATCCAAAACATTTGTGAATCTTCTGTAAAATTTTTGATGCAAATGTCTTATTACTGAAACTCTCCCATTAGAGTTCAGCCAGAATCTTTCAGAGAAGTAATACATGGCATTATGTGAAAAGCTATGCAGCACACTTGCATTATCTTCTATAGTGCAGTTTTGTAACAGCATAATGCATATTTCCGCTGATGATTAATCTTATTATCTATCCCTACCAAAAATAAACACCACAAAGAGATTAATTAAACTAGTAGGCCTGACTTTAAATATTAGAACTGCTACTTACTTGATAAACTCTGGAATGAATTTTGGCTGCAAGGATAAAAAAAAGGTGTGAGGAAAAGCAATAACAACAATAATAAAAAAAATATAGGGAGTCCTCGACTTACAGTTCATTTAATGACCAAAGTTACAACGACCTCTGTAGCATCCCCATGATCACGTGATCAAAATTCAGATGCTTGGCAACTGTCCCATACTTAAGATCATTGTTGTGTCCCAAGGTCATGTGATCACCTTTTGGAACCTTCTGACAAGCAAATTTCAGTGAGGAAACTAGATTCACTTAACAACTGGGTTACTAACTTATCAACTGCAATGATTCACTTACCAACTGTGGAAAGAAAGGTGGTAAAGTGGGACAAAACTTATTTAAAAATGTCTCACTTAACAACAGAAATTTTAGGCTCCAATGTGGTTATTAAGTTGACAAGTACCTGTAAATGAAATATTTTTTTAGAACGCAATAAAAATTACCGAGACCATCAGGTTGAGAAGATGTGGGAAAATGAGTGGGTTAAGATCTTATGGGATGTTAAGATCCAAAGAGACAGGCATCTTGTTTATAACCTGTCTGATATTGGCCTGTCCCACTTGATCCAGCAGAAGGGGCATGCTGCAAACTCCATTGGTCAAAAGGTTTCAGCAGGGTTTTAGAAGGAGGGCCTTTTCTGCCATGGCCCCCACTCTTTGCCACTTGAAATGAGATGTGCTCCCACCCCTTTAGCCTTCTGGAAGGACATTAAAACCTGGCTCTGGGGTCCGAACCGGGGGTGTGTGTCTTTGCTGGAGGAGGCTGGACTAACAGAGAAAAAGCTATTATTGTACTGATTTTGCCTTTTGCCTGTTACTTTCTGTATGTAATGTTTTTAATAGTTTTGTATGTAAGTTTTTAATTGTAAGCCACGCAGTCATTTAGCAGCATGAGATGGGCAGCATATCAATTCACTTAATTAAATTATTAATTAATTAAATAAATAAAATAGTTATTGAAAAGAAGAAAATCTGGTTCATTGATGTTGCTATATCAGATGACGCTAGGATTGAGGAAAAACAATCAGAAAAAAATAGAAAATACTAGGACTTGCAGATTGAAGTTGAACATCTATGGAACAAGAAATCCATTGTTAAATTAATTCTGATTGGAGTCCATAACCAGCACCTGAACAATGTCCTTGCTATCTGGAAATACTGAATTTTTCAGACCCAAACACCCTAATTTTACATAAAAAAAAAAAATCAGCTAGAACTCCCTACATTCTTGGATGCCGCCTTAATCATTCTTAGGTTCTTGATTAGGACTTGAATGTTACGTTTCCACCTGTCTTAGATGGTGAATCTAACTGTAGATTACCCACATATAGTAATAACTTATTAAATTTATATCCCCAACAATTCTGGATAGTTTATAATTGTACAACTTTTAAAAAACAAAGAAAATAAATTCATAGGAGAACAAAAAGGAAGAATGTGCCATCAGTTGCCCTTCCCCAAAACTTGAGCAAACAGCCAGATCTTTAAAGCACTTCAAAATACCTAGAGTGGATAATCAAGGCAAATGAAATAAATAAAATATTTAAGAAGAAATAGAGAAGGAAAGCAAACTTACATGATGCGAGAGATCAGCATCCATAATAATAATGAAGTTTCCTGTGGCATGTTTCATTCCATGAATGTAAGCAGTTCCTGATTTAAACAATACAAAAATCATGACTCCCCTCTCCTTTAAGAATCATGCACATGAATAAAAATAATCAAATAGTCAAATAATCTCATCTGTACGTATCAAATATTATGGTTTCTTCCCATCCCATACAATCTGACAGAGCTGGGTCCCATTGATTAATCAGATTGGTAGGGGCCTTTTCTATCTTGGGCATCTGCCATCTAGAACATCCTCCCACCAGATATTCATATAGTTCCCATCCTAGTTCAGTTAGAACAAATGATAGATCTCTTTTTAAAATTAGTCTCTTTATTTTTGTTGTAAGCCAGCCAGTTCATACAGATGGGAGGAGCTATGAACTCGATAAAAATATAAAAAAACTATTCCACTATTTAAGAATCCCATTATACCTATCCTCTGCATGTGTATGTGTGTGTTGCTACTTTTCACTGACTGTTAATTTCTTGCATGACACAGTCATTAATTCTGAATAGTAGCAAAACTAATTTTGTAAGTTGCTAAATGAGTGTGTATATTGTCCATTTTTCTGGTTCTCAAAAAACAATGCATGCGATTAGCAGCAAAATTAGATTCTGATTTAAATTCATTTTTGAAAAGTAAAAATATACCCGACTGAAGGTTAATGTACAGATAGTCTGAATAAATTGATAGAATATTGTTAATCATCTCATTACTGATTACTTACCCAATCCAAGTTTCTTTGCTCTGGGTCTCAACAGCTGTAAAGTATAAGTAAACCAGAAAATAAGATGAACTGTACTAAGCTCAGGCTAATGATCATGTACTTCCAATAAAATTTCATTATTGCTATTTTGCTCTTCCCTCAAACAGAACGATTATACTCATAAGGTAAAATCTGACATTGCATAAATGGATTTTAGTCTGTATTTTCCCCACATTGCTGTAATTTACCTAAACCTAGGTATTTCCTCACATATTTTGTATGATTCCCTGAATTTAAGCTGATAAAAGAAATACTTTTATCTTAACCTTATAATAACAATCTCTTTGTATTTAAATATAGGTGGACTTTTGATAGAACTAAGCTAGCTGCCTTCCCCTCCCAGTAGCTGCAGGAAAAGCTATTCCAAAAGAGAGTGTCCAAATAATAACCATGACATAGAATCAATAGGTAGTCTTCAACCTATCACCCTAATTGAGTTGGAATCATGATCATTAAGTCATGCCAGTCATTAAGCAGGTCATCATGTGACTGACCTGATTTTACATTTTTTGTGGCAGTTGTTAAGCGAACACAATAGTCATTAAGTGAATACCATACTAGTTAAGCAAACCCATTGTCTACCTGGAGTGTTTTTACCGGAAATTAGAAGTAAGCGAAGGATGACAAGCTATTTTCAATTAGCTAAATCGTTTCAAAGTGAATTCCATTTCTCTATGCTAACAGTTTGAAACATGGTGGTAATAACAATATGACAGAGGGGAAAAAAGTAACTTACAATTTTGTCTGCTCCATAAATCTTTATTAATTGGTCAGCAACTTCCTGCGTCCCATCTGGGCTTCCATCATCTATAATTACAATTTCGAACTCATTCCCACTGAAAAAAATAATTATTTTGTAAAGCCAGGTCCAAAAGCTCCCATCATTTCTAAAGGTGGGAAGTGAGAAGAATCCCCAATGGTTTCCCATTAAAAGTAAATGTAGTCATTAATCCTATTACACTTATTTGGAAAGTCACATTTACTGTAACACATTCACTAATACCATACTTTTCTTGGCAATTTAAATTCCTTAATTAATTTGTTTGATCTAATAGAACTTTATTTTAAAATTCTAATTTCAAATATACCTTATACATTCTCAGATCTGAGCAATAAGAATCTAATTAATTCTCTGCTATCTATTGGCTAGTACAATTATTAATTTCACAGCCATTATGGCTTTGGGATCTGTCTTGATTGACTAATATTTCATTATATTTTACACAACTTGAATATATCAATAAGTTTACAATTCAGAAAAAGATTACATGCATATCCTAGTCATTTGTAATCTAAACAAAATAATTTGTGATGCTTTGTAATGTTTGCTAAATTAAATTCTTATTCAAAATAAGTGATAATTTAGATACAAGACTTAGTATATTATATTTTCAGCATTCAAACTCATCAAACATTTGCTAAATTACATTCTTATTCAAAATAAGTGATAATTTAGGTACAAGACTTAGCATATTATATATTCAGCATTTAACTCATCAAACATTTTATTGTACTAATTTAAGAAACTGGTCCATGATACAACACTTCAGTTGTGTTCTCACTGCCTCAAGGCATTCTTTTAAAATGTCATTTAGTGAAAGAAAAACCTTAATAAAAGTTCAAGTGTTCTGATAATTTGATCCTAAAAATATTTTTGCAGATAAATCTTTATCAAAATGTAAATCTGAAAACAATTATATTTGCTTGCTAGATTTATGAAGAGAAAATAGTAGAGGTGCCTGAGTTATTTAATATACAAGGTTTTATGGTTTCAGTAAATTGCAGATTGTAATTGCAGATTGCCTATTTTATAGCTAATAATATTGTATGTTGTTACTTCTAAGCTACACACACACACACACACACACACAGAGAGAGAGAGAGATTTTCAGTACATTACTGTCGTATTTAATGTACAAGTCCAGAAGTTGAAAATAAAGGATCTAACATTACACACATTTCATTCAAAATAATTCCTAATACAGCTTACTTCCAAATAAGCCCTCAGAGGACTCCTATAAATCCTAGTTTAAAAATCTGAAATAAGATATCTTAAACTGATAATCAGAAACACGTCTGGAAATATAAAATTCAGTAAAAGGTATGAGGGGTCCTTGCTGTTCTCTGATCTCAGCTGTTTTCTTGCAGACATTTCATTATACAAACTAAGTAACATCCTCAATGCTAGCAGGAAAACAACCAAGCTCAGAGAGCACCAAGGACCCCATATTTCAACCCTGAACTACAAATATTTTCCTTTATTGTCTGCCTATCTATTCCAGATCTCTCTCTCTCTTTCTCTCTCTCTCTTACCTACCTATCTATGCTAAATGCACAAGAAAACTATTGTGCATTTTACTCTCTTTGTCCAGCTCTGGGGTTCCCAACATCTGTAGTAAGTACACTGTAATGACAACCGTACTGGGCTTGGACTCAAGGCCTCAGCTCCAAGCCCCCATACAACCCCTACAGCTCCCTGGGAGACCTAAGATCAGATGCAAAGGCCGGCAGACCTCACGGGGAGGCCGTGCGCCTTCCGCGTTCAGCTCGCAAGAGAAATGGAGGGAGAGTTGCAATAAATCAATCCAGCCCAAGTCAGGACACCCTCAGGAAATATCAATCGAGAAACTGAAACACCAGCAAAGGTTTCTTCCCCCCCCCTCCCCGGCCACTCTCCCGCTGCTAGTCACCTCTCCTCGAAGCTCTTCACCAGCAGCCACACGACCAGGGGCAGATTCTCGCGCTCGTTGTAGGTGGGCAGCAGCACGGAGTACTTGCGGGACGAAGACGCCATGACAGGCGCAGCTCAACCGCCGACCGCGCCTGCGCGATGCCACCAGAGAATCGGCGGGGAAGAGGGGGCGTGTCCACGGGGCGGTGTCTCTCGCAGCATCGGAAGCGGAAGGAGCGGAGCGTCCCTCGCTGACCTCCTGGCAGAGGAAAAAATCTGAGGTGATGGAAGGTGTTGAGGCCGCTCGGCTTCCCCGCCAGGAGGACTTGGCGGATGACCGAAGCGGCGTCGGCGACATGCCGGAGCCTCCCCCTCTCCGGGCGGGACTGAGCCGGCTGGATATCCAGCGCTACTCGCGGCAGCTAGTGCTGCCGGAGCTGGGTGTGCGCGGGCAGCTGCGGCTCTCCTCGTGCGCGGTGCTGGTGGTGGGCTGCGGAGGGCTGGGCTGCCCGCTGGCGCAGTACCTGGCCGCTGCGGGCGTGGGACGCCTGGGGCTGGTGGACCACGACGTGGTGGAACTGAATAACCTGCACAGGCAGGTGTTGCACCGGGAAAGCCGTCTGGGCCACTCCAAAGCGCACTCGGCAGCCTCCGCACTGAAAGAGCTGAATTCCGCCGGGCGGTACGAAGCTTACGAGCTGGCGCTGAGCCCCGCCACCGCCCTGGAGCTGGTCGGGGCCTACGACATCGTGGCCGACTGCTCCGACAACGTGCCGACCCGCTATCTGGTCAACGATGCCTGTGTGCTAGCTGGCAAGCCCTTGGTGTCCGCCAGCGCCTTGCGCTTGGAGGGTCAGTTGACTGTATACAACTTCCAAGGGGGGCCCTGTTACCGGTGCCTCTTCCCAAAGCCCCCTCCTCCTGAGACGGTCACTAACTGCGCCGACGGCGGGGTCTTGGGGGTTGTGCCCGGCGTCCTCGGCTCCCTCCAGGCCCTGGAGGTGCTCAAGATTGCTTCGGGGATAGGATCCTCCTTCAGTCGGTCGATGCTGCTCTTTGATGCCCTTGAAGGACGCTTTCGCCACATCAAGCTCAGGCCCAGGGATCCCAAGTGCGCCGTGTGTGGGGACCGGCCCTCCCTGACGACCCTGCAGGATTATGAAACGTTCTGTGGATCTTCAGCAACCGATAAGTGTAGGACGTTGCGCTTATTGTCTAGTGAAGAGAGGGTTTCTGTAGAGGAATACAGAAAGATTCTGGACAACCAGGTTGCTCATGTACTGGTGGATGTTCGTCCCCAAGTCGAAGTGGAGATCTGTTGCTTGCCAAAATCCCTCCAGGTGCCTTTAAATAAACTAGAAAGAAAAGATGAAGAATGTCTGAAGTCTTTGTACCAGAAGATACATGAAGAGAGGCAGAGGACTGATGGCACTGTGGCATTTCCAATTTATGTTGTCTGTAAATTAGGAAATGACTCTCAGAAAGCAGTGAGAATATTGCAGGAATTGCTTTATGATGAAGTAGGCTTAATTTCAGTAAAGGATATCAAAGGAGGACTCATGGCGTGGGCTGACAAAGTTGACCAAGATTTTCCTCAGTATTAATGTTTTCTAATAGTAATAATGTAAATTCATTGATTTCCTTGGTTTTTGGAAAGGGATTTATTATAACAAGGTAATATGTTTATATTTTCACTTGGTTGTCTATGGAAATCTCATTTAAACTAATTCTTCAAATAAATAATTTTTTCAAAATATTCCTCAGAGTCCTAGGTTTTATAAGAATTTAAGAAATTAAGGGGGGAAAAATGGTTGATATTGATACAGCCAGTGCCATCTATTGAGAAAAAGGCAGGATTTGTACTGCAAAAAGCGCACCATAGCTGCCATTTTGTTGCAAAGAGTTTAAGGACATTTTTTAAAAAAAATGTTCTATGGTCTGAAAAAGTTTAGAACTCTTGCTTCAAATAAGTCATCCAAAGCAACTTAAATATTTGGGGTGGGAGAGTAAATAACCCTCTCCGTAAAGGGGATAAAGGAGGGAGGCATATGAAAGAGAAAAAAAGTTATGGATTGGTTCTTCAAGTTTTTAAATAATAAATGAATGCAATACGTAGTAAGGAGCCGGCTGATGGAATGACCCTGTTTCATATTTCATTTCCCTCCTGTAGCTTGACCAGTAATTATATTGTACTATAATAAAATCATACAAAAGTTACATTGGTATATTTGCATTATCCAATATTCCCAGGACCAAATACTGCTGAATTAATTTAATCCTTTCTTGAATTCCTGTTGAATCCAAATACATCATTCTGTGTCTTTTAATACTGTCACTTTATATTATAAAAATGATACCATAACTTTCATTAGCACATTAGGTTATAGTCCTTGAGTTCTTTTTAAAAAAAATCCTGCATTGATACAATGGCATTCCTATACTTTGCAAATACAGGATTCGGTTTCCCACAGAAATAGTGGGATGCAATTCTGCTTCACCACTAGTGCTGACCTCTTTGCATCTGTCCTAAGTTCCTTGTTTTGTTCTTTCTGCACATTAGAGGACAGTTTGTAGACTCAAGGCATGATAGATAACCTGATAATACCAAGGCTCAGAAATGATTGACAATCAGTACTGGTACCTAAAAACAAAAAACCAGAGCCCTGTTGGATGAGGCCAAAGCTCCATCTAATCCAGGTTTTGGTGCCATACGTTGGTTCAGTGTTTCTCAGTTTTGGCAGCCTGAAGAAGTGTGGTCTCCAACTCCTAGATTTCCCCAGCCAGCATAACAGGTGGCTGGAGTATTTTGGAAGCTGAAGTCCACACATCTTTAAGTTGCCAAGGTTAAGAAGCATTGCATTGACCAATGAGAAAGAACTCATCAGCAAGGTTGGAAGACTGGCAAACCATCTCAGCAATTATTCCTTAGCAGTTCTTCATTAAGGTATGCTGGAGCTTCAGATATCGAAATCTGTCATCAAAACAAAAAGCAATTGATAGCCTCTATGAATTTGACCAATCCCCTTCCGAAACCATCTAAATTTGCTTCATTGATGAATAAATGAGTAACCTTCACTCTGTTGGCCACTAAATTCTGCACTTTTAACTATACTAAATATTTTAGAGATATAGCTGCCTTATAGTGCCCTTTTATATAGGGAAAAGGACACAATTATAAATCAGCAATTAATATTTAATTAGGATTGGGTGACTTGAGTTCAAATCTGCAATTGAATTATGAGTCTCACTTTATAAGTGACTTTTGCCATCCTTATTCTTCTTGTCAGGTTTTTGTGAAAAATAATCATTTTGTGGAGGGGAAAGGAAAAATTATCTGTTGTCCTGAGCTTGTTGGAAGAAAGGTTGGATAAAACTGGCATGTGATTTTTTAAAAAGCCGTGTGAACTTCACCATTTTCCCGTTTTGAGTAAGGAGTGTGTCTGCTAGTGTCTTGCTTACGAGCTTTCCTAAAACCAAAGCAGAAACTTTCCATGGAGACTCTTTCCTTTTATTCTTCCTTCAGTGATCAGTCTAACCTTAAACTTAGTCTTTGCTCCCAAAATGTACACCAATAGTCACATATTTCATTCACAATGCACCACAAAATGAAAGTAAAGATAGCAGAGAGCCTTGTCCCATTCTCTCTGCTTTTCTAATCCCTCTCTATTACAAAGTAGTTGCAATTTTATTCACAAGAATTCATGCATGTAGCTGTTGGATAGCTATCGGTACATCTATTTTTGGACAGGAAAGCTATATTCTAGATTTAAAATTCTTAATCTCCTTATTGTAATTTAAAATACTAATATTTCCACCTACCAACTGAAGCCTGGTTGAATCCAGGAATTGAAACAATACCTTAAATCCTAGAAAGCAAAAGTACAACTTTTATTACAACGCTGCTTTATTTTCTGTTAGATGACTTTGAAAAGCATGAAAAGGATTTAACTTTTTATTTGATGTCAATGCAAAACTATGCTGAAAGTTGTGGTATTTCACTGCAAACTCTAAAGAACTGAAGAACTATTGATAGAGAATTACTATTATTTGATGTTCAACAGATGCACTCAAGGAGATTGGGATTCTGCTGTTGGTCCCATTCTAGCTACCTACATAAGTGCTGCAAAAAATTTGCAACAGTGCTTCCAAATTAGTTGTGTATGACTCATCCATGTGATTAAGAGAACCTGTGTTTTCAAAAATTCTTAATGTAGGAATAGAACATTTGCATATGCTCAGTCTTCATGCAGAAAGACTTTTTTAGGCATATGTCAGATCTGAAAAAAGACAAGATCAGGAGCACTGGAAAAATCTGGTACCTTTTGAGCAAGACGGAATGTCAAAGCTGAAATCACCTATTTAGTTTGAATGACTTGAATGGCTAATTTTATAGTAATTTTTTAAGAAGTCTTTTTTTTAGGGAGTTATTAAGCTGAAATTATTCAAGGTAGTGTGAGACATAAGAGCTAGCAAAAGAGTTTGAAGGTGGTTTGTACATTTGAAAAAACAGCAATATTTCTTATCTTTGTTCCTGAGAATATCTAAGAAAACAAATGGATCATCAAAACAATTCAGAGATCTCACTCAAGGCACAAATGACCAGGTTCAAACTATCCTACTCTACAGTAGATACATTATACAAAGGCCTAGCTCTCTGGAGAGGGCTCTAGTGCTGGGAAAGGTGGAAGAAAAGATAAATAGAGGAAAACTAGCAGCAAGGTAGAAATATAGCCAGAGCAGCAATGAGATTACCATTAGAAGACCTGGAAGACCAGGCTAGGGATAAATCATCATGGAGAAAATCTGTGGGATTAATGAGAGTTAACAGTGGCTCAATGGCAGATAATCAATCTTAACAAACTTCCAATTACTGCAGCTTCTTAAGATAAGTCTTAGAAAGTATTCTGAGATATCCTTGGTCTTTGCTCCCAGCACTGAGCATACTTCACAAGCCTATGAAACTATTTCAGTTCTGAATAGTAATGAATCTCCAATTACCATGACACTTTTCTTTTTTCTTAAAAGATTATAATTATATTGGCTTTGTGCTTTATATATCATTTTTCTTGTCTCCCATTCTGCGGTATCTCGCTCACAGCATGCTGCGTCTGCCAGATGGTAAA